CCAGCACTCAGTATTCAGGTCACCCCTGAATGAGAGCTGTTCGCCACTCCTGATCATCCGGCACTGGCTCACAGCGCTGCTGCCCCTGTTGCTGCCCACCCCAACCTTCAGAGCGCCATCTCAGAGGCCCCACCTGGAAGCCCTCCAGCTGCGGTGGCTTAGGTCCTGGCCTGCTGCTTGCTGGCTGCCACCAGCTCCAGGCACTTGTTGACAGGATGGAGCCATCTTGGACGAGCGGCCTTCTGGACACTGTGGGCACTATTTGGGACGAGATAGCCCAGAACTCTTTGTTTCCTCTGCTTGTTAAATAAAGTCCCGTGTTGTTCCCTGAACCTGAGTGTTCTTGGAATTGTACATCTGGTTGAGAACCCACACAGTGACCTGTCCTCTACTGGCCACTGTGCTTTGGGAGCCGTAGCTGCTGTATTGCTCTGTTTCAAGTTCATCCAAGTAGGTGTCTTATTTGTGTGGGGACAGGAGTATTTGCGCACTCTCTGTGTTTTCCAGACAATTTGGCTGTGAAGCTAAGAAAATGAAGCCACTCTGAAAATTAGAATGCATTAAAAATATCTTGGCTATAATATGTATGTTAGAGTAGAAGAATATTTTTCTGGGATCTCATGTTCTATAAATGGAGCAGATGTGAATATGTAAGATGAGAAGGTAAAAGAGAGTTTTTCTCCCCAAACAACTGTTTGCTGTTCACAGAATGTTGGGATTTGGGATTTTGCCTGGGAAGAAAGTTGGGTGGGGGAGGGGATGGGGGTGAAACATAGGCTTGGGGGAGCCCCTCTCTGCAACTTATCAGCCACAGTAGAAATGCTGTGAGGGATGTTGGTATGCTTCTGAAGCTGTGTTCTGCTAGCGGGTCCTCCCTGTGAGTTCAGGGGAGTCTATCCCCAGCTTGTCCTGAATCCAGGGTTGGCAGCTCAGCAATACCCCTCCTTCCCATCTTTTCTGTCAGGCACTGAAGCCTTATAGGATGTTCCTGGTGTTAATCCTAAGCCCTTATCCCACTCTCTGTGTTCTATAAAGCTATTGCTCACTATGGGAAACGGAACAATCAATAGGGTCACAGTTCATCACCTGTTCGTTGTGGTTTTGATCCCTTTAAAGTCCTAGTTGGCACGTGGCGAATTCATTGTTTTTAAATCTAGACATTTACACTCCATTGACAGCTTAAACCTTTTTATTTTATTATCTTGAAAAAATATAGTCAAGGGTTGCTTCATGACATTCCAGTCCACAATGGGCATGCAGAAGATGCTGGTCCTCATAACCTGTCACAAAGCATAGGTGCCCAGAAGGCTGTACCATCAGGACTGTGTGATTGCTCTCCACAACGTACCATGCAATGATGAAATTGCCTGAGAACACATTTCTCAGAATGTATTTTTGTTGTTAAGTTATACATACCAGTACCTATTTACCGTGGAAATAAAGCAAAGGAAAGAAAAAAATAACACCTATGATTCTACCAGGTATTTCAGAGATAACCATTGTTAGTGGTTTGGTGTATAGCCTTTGTGCACACATATAGATACATATCTACCTATACTTGTCTATGAAAATGTAGGGAATATTCTTTCTGGAACTGATTTTTATTTATTAAAAGTGGAAGAACGCGTGCTACTAAAGAAGTACTTTTTTTTTTCTGTTTTTCTCTTTTCACATAACTACTTTAATGAAAGCCCTTTGAGTAAAATTTAAGAAGTAGAATAGCTGGGTGATAGCTTTAGATTATTGATAATTATTGAAAAATTATTCTAACAGACAGACGGTCCTTTGCTGGTACAAACTATTCCCGCCTCCCCTAACTAATATGTCGGTTTCCAAATGGTGTTCTGCTTTTTGGACTTTAACCACAGTGAGATCAAACATTTGTTCAAATGCTTATTAACTACTAGTATTTATCTCTTGGAAGTTATGTGTGTGTGTGTTTCCCATACAGTTCAGTTTTCTAATGGATTCCACTTTTTCCTTTATTTTAATATATAGTGTAATAGCCCTGCTATATATGGCAAAATAGTCCTCCCTTCTATTTTTACTCTGTTCATAGTAAGATTTTAAAAAACTATTTGATATTTTTGTGTTTCTACTTTTTCTTGTATAATTTAGCTGTCACTGATGTGGCATTATAGCTCATGTGCCTTAAAGAGTTATTAAAAGGAAATTCCTTTCCCCAAAGTTCCCTCCAAAGCTCATTCTTAGAGTCCAGTGGAAATACCTGCATAATTGCAATATCATCAACAGCTTTAGCCCCACCTCCAAAGGCTGTGAAGAACACAGTTAATTGTACTTAATCATCCACTCCTGATGGATCTTGGCAAATATTTAATTTGTAGGTAATTATTGATATATCCAAGCCAACTCACAATTTTTTGTGTTGTTGCTTACAATTGGTTGAAGTGGATTTTTAAAATTTCTGCTGGGGAACTAAATATCTCCCTACCTCTAAATTATGACATCTTCTCTCACAGACTTAACAGCTTCTGATTGTTCTATCTTAATGTAATGTTATCCAGCTGAAGACCCAAGGTATACAAATCCTGTGTTTTATAACAAAAGAGCATTTTTTTCTAACCAGTAAGTATAAGTGATTTCCCCTCCAACTATAAAAGGACAAAAGGTTTTGAAATTACCCCTCTGGGCAGGGTTTCCTAAACTTGTTATTTTGGCACTTGGCCATGGAAGAAACCCAGAATCTTCTTAACTTCAATCTTTGTAACAGTGTGAACAATTTGCTGGATGAGACTAGGATCACTCCACAGGGTGATGATTGATGGATTGGTGCCTAGGGTCTTCTCCTCCTTAGAGACAGCTACAACCAGACAGCTGGCAATGCCACATCAGACCATGGATGGGTGTGGGAAAAACTAGAGACTTGATACTTTTTCCTTTTTTAATTATCTTCACTGCCCTCTTCAAGGTTGTGTGTTTTCTTTTTTGAGGAAAAACATTTAACATTGTGAAAGTAACAAGAATAGATGGTCCATAGTTTCAGTGTGAAGTTCTCAAAGTTGCTTGACTCAGATATTGTTTCAGCCTACTTCCAAGGTTTAAAAAGTTCTATAACCTTGGGTCTCCCTTTTTGATTTTCTACGTGCTTCAGTGTTGAAACCCAAGAGTACCACTGTCCATTAACATTGTTCTGTTGCAAGAAGAAATCGTTCACCTTTTATCCCAGTCTCTGAAGACATTGCTATTGGTATCTATGGGGATAGAATTATAAACTGAAAATAACTGAAAATAATTTGCCTCAAGTGCGTATTAAGGAATCAACACCATGTCTATGCTTTATACAAACTACCACCACCACCACCAGCACCAGTAGCAACAACAAATGTTCTTGCCATCCCAGGCACATTGAGTCACGGGCCTGGTAGCTCTCCCTTGTGGAGGGCCCTCCTGGTCCCTACACTGCAAACAAGGACTGAATGTCACACAGAAGAGGCTGAGCTAGAATTTGAACTTGAACAGTCTGAAATGAGAATCTGTCTCCTCAACTTGATTAAATGGACACAACACTCCCACAAGGTTGGTGATGGTGTTCCCATTTTACAAATGGGCTGAGGCTGAGGCTCAGAAAAGTAAGCAAGCTTGCGGTAACTTCGCACATACCCAGAAGTAACTGTGTTTGGTTTAAAACTATAATTCCAGAGCTTTACCCATGATACCATTTTTCTGTCACTTCAACATAATCCTTTTACTTTTTACATTTCAAGTATGCAGTGTTAAAATTAGACATCTGTGGATACAGCATTGTGAACTCCAAGAGTCTAGGTGCCAATTTCCACGGCATAACTGACCCCTTTCCCTCATTTTCCCACCTGTGTTCCCTATTCCCCCTTCTGGTAATCTCCATTTTCTTTCTGTAGTCTAAGGGTTTGCTTTTGTTTGTTCACTTGTTTTCTTTCTTCATTTTCCACATGAGTACAACATGTCCCATTATTGCATTCATGTTTTAGTCACTTCAGAAGTGGTTACAGTGGGCCACTGCTTAAATAGACTTACGTTTTTCTAGTTCTTTTTGTGCAGGAAGCTTCTTGTTTAGCCTCTTCATTCACATGAACCACAATACAAACTGCCTTTCTTTCTATATAAATAACTGTAGGAATAAGTTTCCAAATGTATTCCTGCTTTAGGGGCTTCACTGTTTCTGTTCCCAGCCTGGAATACTCTGTTTCCAGATCTGACATGGCTGACTCATGATCACATGTCAGCTCAAGGGGCTGAGTGTGACTAATTATGGTTAGCTTCCTAAGGCTGCAGTAACAAATTATCAAAAATTGAGTGATTTACAGTAGAATTTATTCTCTAATAATTTTGAAGTCCATACGTCCAAAATGAAGGCATTGGCCTGCTTCCTCTAATGGCTCTAGGGGAGAATGAGTTCTTCCTTTTTTCATTTACTGGAGACTCCACATATTTCTTGGCTGTAGCAATGTAACTTCAGTTTCTATCTTCATATAATACCTTTCTATATAGCCCTCTCAATGCCTTCTCCTCTTATAAAAACACTTTTCACTGAATTTAGGGCCTACCTGGATAATTCAGGTTGATTATCACAAGATTTTTAACTACATTTGCAAAGATTGTTTCCCCAAAACAGGTCACGTTCACATGTTCTGAGCGAACATAGTTGGGGGCGGGGGCTACTGTCCAAACCACTACACCCCACCCTAAGGAAAGCAGTCTTTGCTGCTGTTGTATCGTTCTCTGTGATACATCACTAGGTTTATTTTCTTCATAACGCTTGTCTAGATTTGACACATCTTGTTCTTTTGTCTACCTCCATATTGTTGGCATTGCAAGTATTTTATGATTTTTATATTTTATAGATTGACTACAATGAACACATCTATTGAACCGTTCTTATATAACACTTAATTGCTAATTGGTCTTTATAGTTCATTTAGCTTTAATAGAACCCCTCCTCCCCAAACCCCAATCCTTCCCCAAGGAGCAAGTCCTCATCAGAGAACTTCTTTTTCCGCTAGGCTCTGATCACCTCCGAGAGAAAGATGGCCTCTGGGCTGTCTTGGTCTGGCTCTCTGTCATTGCTGCCCGGAAGCAGGGTGTGGAAGAAATTGTCCGGGATCACTGGGCCAAATTTGGCCGCCACTACTATTGCAGGTAAGCAGGGTAAGGGTCTCTTTTGAATGCAGAGCAACTACTCTTAGAGAAAGTTTCTAAAGGTGGTGACTAAAACCTGAAAAAGGAGACATCTTCACAAATATCTAAGGGACACAGAGGCTGGAGCCAGAGAAGCCCTGGTTAAGTGGTTGGGTGTGGAATCAAAAGCTCAGTGTCTGTAAAGTGGCAGCCATCCCAAGAGGGAATCTGGACTGCAGAGCCTATGTCCTTTGGTTCCCATGACAACCAAGCAGTCAAACCAGGGACTTTCCTTGTTGTTTTCCACCTATGATTATCAAGGAAGGGCATGGAGACAGAAGCTGTGGGTGCTTCTGTCAGCACCAGCTGGGGTGCTTTGTAATCCTCAATCTGACCTCTCCACCGTTTATCTGAACAATAGCCAGGATGTGGTAGATGGCACTCATTGAAAGAGTTACGTGGTTATGGAACCATGAAGCAATATATGGAATTGCTAGAGGAGATTTGCTAGAGGAGATACAGGAGAGGGAAGTCTGCCCTGTGGAAGAGGAAGGGCAAGTCTGTGGTAAGAGCTTAGGGCTGGAGGTCTCTATTGCTTGCCCTTATTGACCTAAGTGAGTGCATAATTGGGGAAGCTGTGTGGTTGCCTCCCCAGTACCTACTATCAAATCGTGGTTTGGTGGGGAGCAGTGGTAGGAAAAGATTTTGACTGTGGAGAGCTTGGGGTGGAAAGGGGAATCTTTGGATAGCCTCAGAGGCTGTCTGTGATTTAAAACAGAGATTGTTGCTTATGAATAGTTAAGTACTTTGGATATTTGGTTGTGTTTCAAGAACTTGAAGGACAGAAAGTTTTAGACTTCCCTTTTAAGGTGATTGTTTTTTCTCTTATGAGGCCATTTACTGAGTTTACTTAGATAAACATCAGTGAATAAGGAAGCCTGTCATAGTATTCATTAAAATCAAAGAGACACCGGTGCTAGGGAAAATGTAACTAGTGCTTTCTTATTTCTGTTTAGTGAAAAAGTCTACAGATGGGGTAGTCAGAAAACCACCTCCAGTTATTCACTGAATCATAAATTAAGGACTTTCAAGGCAGGTGGGAACTTGTGTTAATTGCTGCCATTACTAACAAGTGCCCCCAATCCTAAATTTTGTTGGCTTTTTTGGCGTAGCAAGGGCTAACTGGGGCAGCAGCTCTTTCTATTGCATGTAGCTGTTCCAGTATGTCCAGCCTGACAGAATAAATCATGATTGCCAACTTCTGGCTTAGTGAGATTGTTTTGAGTCAGAGATGTATTCCTCATCATTTATGGAATGATTATGTGACTTTCTGCCAATGTTTTGAAGACATGGTGTTATGATAAGTGTATTTATGAGATAGCTCTTTTTTTTTTGTGGCCTAGAACTTACATGATAATTACTTTTTTAATAACAAATACCATATTAGAGAATAACAGGCGATGAAGATTTAAATTCTTGTTAGACACTGAATTATGTTTCAGATTTCTGTCCAAAACAGATCATGCAGATAAAGAAAAAGGGATGCGAGAATAGGTAAAAGGAAAGATAAACATTCCTTCAGCCTCCAGCTAATGCCGCTTGAAAATATTTTTGAAATAAAGTGATTTCTAGCCTGGCAATTTTCTTATTGGGGAGGAGAAAATAAAATAATTTTGGTTCACCTAATATTGTATCTTAGGTTGTCTGAGAACCCAGACATACTCCTTAAAGTGGAAATCTTCTCCTGAAATGTGTTGGCAGTGGTGATCAGAAGGGATTATTTGAGTTGGTGAGGGGGAGGGGTGTTAGGACTGACCTGTGCATAAAGATGAACCTTTGGGCTGCTGCTGATGACTAAGTCATAGACTTAACATGATCTGTTACACTAATGGGTTTTCTCAATGGAAAATCTCTTCCAGTGCCCCTCTCTCCTGCCATCTCATCCTACTGCTCCTTTTTTGCTTTATTAGGTCTTTAGCTTCCTCCAGCCCACCTCACCCAGAGAATTATCTTTAAAGAGAATCTAGGCTCCAGAATTCATACCCTGCGGAGAAAGCATGCTTTGACAGTTCCCTGTTGTTTTGCCTCTGGGACTGTGGAGGGGGCACCTTGTGGAAGGTGGAGCTAATAAAGAACAGCACATCCCCATTGCTAGATGTAGTATTGTTCCTTGTTCTACTTTTCTAACATTATTTCCTCCCCAAACCCCCAATATCTTAATGTTTACTAGAAGCCTTAAAAGAGTGGGTGGAGAAAAGTTGTGACAACTCTTCAGCTCTCCTTTCAGTTCACTGTGAAAACATATACCCTTTTCCTATACTACAGGGAGCCCACATGTGAGAACCCACCAGTCACTTGGATACAGCTGCCCCTCCTAGGGCTTTTTTCTTAAACAGACTCTCTTGGGTATGCCAGCAGGCCTTGGTCAAGACTACCCCACACAGGGAAAGACCCTATTGGTTTTTTTGTGGTAGTGACTAAGAATAGTTTAAGCTCTAGTGGCTGGCACTCAGCCACGTAGTTGGAATGCATTCTCCTATTTAAGCCCTGAAACAATAAATAACATAGGTGTTATTTTTAGTCTCCTCCCAGCCCCCATCACCTCCCAGTCTCATTGTTACATTTGATGATTTTGGCCAGAAAGACTATTTTCAGTTGTACAATTATGGTATTTCTTCCAAGTTTCCAAGTGAGCTGTGTTAGAAGAGAACTGAGTTCCCTTTCTCCTCTCATTGCCTCCCTTGATCTTCTCTCTCTCTCCCTTTACCTCTCTCCCCTCCTCTCCCTTCCTACTCCTTCCCCCTTAATTCCACTCTGTACAAAACACTACTTATCAGGAACTCCAGGAAGGCAGTGAACAAAACAGCTAAGCTCTCTGCCCTTCTGGAGCTTACATTCTCATCAGCAGAGACAGATAAGAAATAGATAAACACATATAAACAAGGTTAATAGAGAGTGGTCACTGCCAAACAGAAATATAAAGAGTGGCGTATTTGAGAGAGGGAGACAGAAGGGAAACCACCTGAGACAGATGGCTGAGATGATTGCTTTCTGGAGGTGACACTGAATTTGAAAACTGAAGGGAGAGAATGCACCAGCCACTTGAGTAGCCAAGAGAAGAGCATACCAGGCAAAGGGAACAGAGGGAGCAAAGGCAAAGGCTGGGAGGCAGGAGAGGGAAAGTGTTTCAGGAGTGGAGTGTGGAGGAGGTCAGTGTGATTGGGACAGAGTGATCAAGGGTAAAAGCAGGACAGAGTCAAGTCTAGGACAGGGTCAGATCTCAGTGTTGTGTAGACTGTCCTTAAAGTCTGGAGACTCATTCATAACATGCTGAGTTACAAGAGAAATTTGAAGAAAAGTACTAACAAGATTTGATTTTTACAAGATCACTCCAGCTGCTATGTGGAGAATGACTTGTAAGGGACAGGTGGAAGAGGGGAGGCCAATTGGGAGTGTTTCTCTGCAATTATTCTGTGGAAACAAAAGCAATGACTAGATGACCTTGAGAGGTCCACCCAGTTACTGTTTCTCTGGTTTGTTTGTGCTCATCCTGTGTCTTGCCCTCCTCACCAGGTTTGACTATGAGGGACTAGAGCCCAAGACAACATATTACATCATGAGGGACCTGGAAGCCCTGGTGACTGACAAGTCCTTCATCGGCCAGCAGTTTGCTGTGGGGAGCCAGGTCTACAGTGTGGCCAAGACAGACAGCTTTGAATACGTGGACCCTGTGGATGGCTCTGTGACCAAGAAACAGGTATTTGCTAGGAACTCACCAAAACAGGCTATCAAGCAGAGTTGGGAACCAAAGTGTCTTGGAGTCAGAGAGTGGTTAGCAGTGATCTGCTCTGATCCATTCATTATGCAGAGGACCGTCCTGCAGCCAATGAGTCCTCCATGAAAGGTTGCATACTTGGTTGGTGGCACACAGTAGGTTAGTAAGCACTGGGCCTCACCTCTCTGTCTAGTACTTTTCACACTTGGTATTTTCTGGGCCACTTCTGTAAATAGATATAGACCCAATATTGTTTTCCAAAATATTTTTATGCTGTAGGCTCTTTATGTGGTGCCATTACTGGTGACAGATTCAGGAAGGGCCCAAAAGCAAAAGCCCCTTCTTCTTGGGACCTCCCAGGTGCAGGGTTGTTTCACCTTTTATTACTTTATGTCATTGAGTCATAAGAAGCTAATCCTGGTGGGTTTTCTGGTAAGGAAAAAAGCAGTTGGAAAATTCAACCCACACAGCTCCAAAGGCAGATTTATGGCCACTTCACTGTCACCATAACTAAGTGACACCCCCAACTTCTGTCATGGTCTCCTTTTGGGGAACTGTGTAAGAGAACTGGAAAGCTTTCACAGGCATTTTTATTCTTGGTTTTGTTTGTTGGCTATGGCAAATTTGACCCTTCTCAGAATATTTTTTTAACATTCATAGTTTAAATGAGATACCCTGAGTAATGCCAAGAAAAGCTCCTTTTTAAAATCCCCAAGTTGTTATTTTCTTATACATTCTTCATTGAAAACAGACAGCAAAATAAATCAGAAGCTGTAAGTTTTGGGAGACTATATATAAGAGTAGTTACTGCTGTTTTTATTTTGAAATATGTATTCCTTGTTCTAGGGTACCCTGACTTGCCGGGGTCCCAACCCCACTGTCCTCCTGTCTCTCTCAGTAGGCTTCCTTTGGTCTGCTTCATTAATTCTAGAATGCCTTCTTTGGTTGGACAAACTGGCTGGTCTTACCTTTGAAAGGTATACAGTAGTGGAGAAAATTGTGGTAAAGAAGTTTAAAGATCCATAATTGAATCTTACCCCTGAGTCTTACCACTTTCTAGTCATGTGATTTGGGGGGAAAGCTGCTTGATTTCTTTGAATTATGATTTCTTCCACATCTGTAAAATATTTATCTCACATAAGTGTTTTAGAAATGGGTAAGAAATAAAATACAGACAAACTAACTAGCCTTCACACAGGAAGTGTACACTGCATGTTTTACTTCACTTAAAGATGCCTCTTGCAGAGTGGATTGAATTCTCTCCTAAGTAACACCATTGAGTGCCTGAAGATGTGACATCAGGGACTCCATGCATGGCACTGTTACAGGGCAGGGAGGGGGCATCCCTGAACCCCCAAATCTGCCTACTCTAAATAGGTTCTGCCATCAGTTGCATCAAGACAAGACAAAGGAGCTTTAATGGAAAGGAACTTATATATATATATAATAGTTTATTTTTACATCATTTGTGCATTTTTCCATCTCAGTTGCAATCCCCTTGGGCTTCCCATCACCAAATCATCCATATGCCATCACCATAGTCAAGTGCATTTCCCTCCTCCCACTGTTTTTGATCCTATTCCCCACTCCACCCCCACAAAATGTCTCTGGCATATAGCTGTTCATCATTATCATCATTTTCTTGCCTGTTCCATTATATTCCTGCTATGAGAGAAACCATCCAGTCAGTATTTTTCCTTTTCTTTCTGGCTTATTTCACTAACCATGATCTTTTCCAGTTCCATCCATATTGCTGCAAAAGATGTGTTGCCTTTTTTTTTTTTTTTGGTTGCTGAGTAATATTCCATTGTGTATGTGTACCACATCTTTTAAATCCAGTCATCCACTTTTGGGCATTTGGGCTGTTTCCATGTCTTTAATGGAAAGGAACTTTAAAACAATGAGTATACAGTACAGAAAAGACAAAGAATATAGTTTCTAAACCAAACAACTCAAGTTACCCATCCCCTTGTGGGTAAAAGTCCACCCAAAAGGGACTGGCCCAAAGCAAGGACTGAAAGCCACCACAAGACTAAAGCACCTCTGGCTGGCACCCATAGAAAAGGGTCAAAAATGGCCAGACAAGTCTGGGAAGAAAAGAGCAAGATCAAAATCAAGATAAACGCTGCCATAGTGAACCTCTCCATGGGTCTCTCACCCACATGTTTCAACCAGTCCAGGGCTAAGAAACAAGAGCCGCTTCTTCACATGTCTCTCTGCTCGATGTGCCTGCCTCAAATCTCCCTCTGGCTCTCTATCCTGCTTCCTTCTTCTTCAGACTCTTTTCCATATTCCTCTCTTCTCTGCTCAGCTCCACCCTCCCTCTGGGTGGGGCACAGAACCTGGAACCTTCACTTTTCCAGGGTCCACCCTGTTAAAGCACCTCAGAACCTTTATGTCTGGATAAAGTGTTTTGAAGTTTTGTGACATATTCCCATTCCCATTTTGCATGAAGCCTTCAGAACAAAAGTCTAAATTCAAGGTTTATAAGAATACAAGAGTTGTAAAATACATGCTTTCTAAATATCTTGGGGAGGTTTTCATTCCTGGGTGAGGGAGGTTTAAAAACCATTTTTTAGGGGATTATCTAGTCAGTGCTAGGTTCTTGACTTTTATCTGCTCATGCAAGGCTTGTCTATTGAGCTCATCTGTTTTGCTGTAAATATACTACTCTATTACTTCTTCATTGCATTTAGCATGTGGATACTTTTTTCTTGGCCTTTCTTTAACCCTTTGCATTAGACTAATTCCTTAGCTGGGTCTCAAGTTCAGACATCTGTTTATTCCAGTTCCCCTTCCATCCAACCTTAAGCACTAGTTTTTATCTGGAATTGGTTTTGTTTTTATCTTATCAGAATCTTTCATGTTGGTTCAAAGGTGGCCATAAATATTCATATGCTATCAGGAACTGCCCTTGAGAGTATTTCTAGCAACAAGAGAAGATTGCTCATTTCCCCAGATGCCAGGACCCAGATGACATCTTCATTAGCTGGTTGGCCAGAGTCACACTGGAGCTTCTCCACAGGTCTGGGTTCACCTCCACTGAGGGCTGCGATCAGTTAATACTCATCAGCATCTTCATTGTTAGCAAGTCACAGGTGTTTCCCTCACCACAGTTGGTCCTATTGGTGCAGAGGAGACATTCCCTGAGGCCGCATGTCAGTACTGGTAGGAGGTCATTAGCTATCAGTATTCAGTTCCAGGGACATTTTGTGCAGCATTGCTGAAAAACAAAACAAACAAACAAACAAAAACTACCACATGGATCTTTTTGCCCATGGTGCAGTTTGTAAATATAAATATATAGTAGTCTTATTGAATAGAATTCACAAACCGTACAATTCACCCAAAGTGCAGAGTGCAGTCGTTTATAGTAGTGTATTTGTAGACTTGTACAGTCATCACCACAATCAGTTTAGACTATATTTATCACCCCCAACAGAAACTTAATCTCTTTAGCTCTCTGTGACCTTTCACCCCTAGCAATCACCCATCTATTTGCTGTTTTTATGGATTTTCCTGTTTTGGACATTTACATAAGTGAGTGGCACAATGTGTAGTCCTTTGTGACTGTGGTCTTTCACTAAGCATAATGCTTTGAGTCTATCCACTTTGTACCACATCTCTTCAGTACTCCCTTCCTTTTTGTTGTTGAATAATAATTTATTAAGTGGATATACCCAATTTATCCACTCAACAGTGAATGGATATTGGGTGATATCCCCTTTTTGTCTATTGTAAGCAATGCTGCTGGGAATTACTCATGCACAAATGTTTGTGAAGACATAAGTTTTCAATTCTCTTGTGTATATTCCTGGGAGAACTGCTGGATCAAAAGGGAACTCTATGCTTCACCATTAAAGAAACCACTCATGGTCTTTGAAGCAATCATACCGCTTCCCATTCCAATTGGTGTATGTGGGGTTCTTATTTCTGTATGCTTCCTCCAACCCTTTGTTATTATGTCATTTTGATAATAGAAATGATATATTTTGAAAATATTATGGGCTATTTTTAAAGTTAAGACTGTATAAGATGAACAAAAGGATACATGGCCTAACAAAACCCAACTGAAATGTAATAATGTGTTATCTCCATTTGCTGTGGGAGCACATGGCCATGGTCTCTGCAGTGTTCTGTGGTGGGGTCAGAAGGACAGTTGGAAGACGGGCTCTGTCACTGTCTTGATTTGTGACTTTGGGCATTCAACTTAACCTTTCTGTACTTGGAGAAGGTGGGTGGGCCTTGTGTCAATAATTGCCATGGAGGGTTATGAAAAAGGTTGGAAGAGAAAGTCTATAAAGCCTTAAACAAAGCATCTGGTACCCATTTGATGTGAGTAAATACCAGGTTCTCACTCCCTTCCCAGAATCCTCAATTTGACTATCAGTTTGAGGAAAGGGTATGGATAATGTTTAAATCTACAGTTTTGAAGTCAGAAAATCTTGTGTTTGAGTCTTGGCAAGTTATCCAATTTCCTTGTGTCTTCTCTCCTTATCTGTGAGATAGGAACAGTAATTATGCTCTCTCATCCTGCTCCTGGAATAACTGAGATAATGCAGTCCTGGACACATAATAGACACTAACAAATGCTTAGCTGAAATAAGTTATGCTAAAAGAGCATCCTTGAGAAAGGAAGATATTGGCATTAAGTAATAAGAAAAGTAGGGGAACAAACATACAATAGTGTGTAACTTTTCAGGATGACATGTGAAGATACAGGAAGGCCTCTTCAGTGTCTGAATTATCTGGGAATTGATTCAAACTCACATTTCTCTCCACATCCCTTCACCCCTAACTCATACACTTTGTTTCAGAAAGGAAAAGTTTTTTTTAAAGCAGCTCCATCTCCATTTTGTCCTTGATTTTAGATTGGAGTCAGGAAACAGGCAGTGGGGAGAAGAAGCCTTTTCACATGTATCTCTGGAGATAAAGAAGAACTGCTTCTTAATTCAAAATGAAATTAAAATCCTGTTCTGGTG